AAACGTCTCAGCGCATTGAACCGTCCTATTTGTCGTAATTCCCTAGGAGAGGGACATTTAAGCAAACTTCATTACATGTGAGTACCTATAATGCTAGGTAATAATATTTTGATGTTTAGGCAGAAACGTTTCAAAATCACTAAATGATAAACCATTGCTCATAATGGACATGAGGCTGCCCCAGCAAACCAAATGACGCCAGATTAATCTAGCAGTGCAGATTCCATGAAACCGTAGTTATTAAAATGGCCTCTTATCAACGGGAAGCAACAGGATGATGGAATAAGCCGTGAAATCCAGCTTTGGACGAGTCATACGTTATTTGACATACTGTGGTGTATTAATATATTTTGATGTTAATGAGAGCGCATGTAAAAAGTACCAACTTTAAACCATCGTTTGCAAAAAACGTGAGGTTGTTCTAGCCAGCAGAAAGATGCGATATGCACCGAGCGATGCAGCTGCTGCCATTCAGTCAAGACCTGCTTACATGCCCCCACCCCAGAAGGAAGAAGATACAATAAGTTGAGAAACCTGGTCTGAGGGGAGTCAAGCGCCACCGCATTAGTTGTGCAAAGCCCTGGTGGTTAAAAACTTTTTATGTTTGTTCGATGCCGATTCCGTTATAGCCCATTCCGACTACTCATGCCTGCCTATGGAGAAAATGCAGATGATGGTCATGAATCGTTCCTTGTTTCAAATATTCGTCATAGTAGAATATTAGCCGCTTTCTTTTCTGGAGGCGCTCCTATTTTCTCTTCTATAAATATTAATACGCAGAACCATAACGGGCTGTAATTTATTAACAGACAGCGGCCTCGTCTTTTATGACATTTAATGTAAAATCAACTGTCAGACTTTAGTCATCCTGCAAGAGGGTGTGAAAAAATTAACTCATTTCAGCCATATTTAGTAAAACTCCTTTTTAAGGCGAGTTTTGGAAAACGGAACTAACCAACATTATGGGCAACCCGCGGTATTTTTGAAAATTTTGCGGGAAACCAAAAATCCGTCAAAGTATACTCTTTGTGTCAGATTTAATAGCGGAATAGTACAGTACCAGTATCATATTCTGATTTAAATGCATATTGCCTTAATTGGTTACAATAGTCGCGCATTTCAGCGGTCTCATGCTCACCAGGTCTTCGTTCTGTCAAGTAATTGATGCGGCTTTGAGAGGATACTTGAAGCAGTAGCGGTACCTGCCTTTCATAACCAATCGTAGGCATGATTATACTCTGTCATACAGAGCTACTCCTAAGGCACGTTCGTTAGGGTTAGCAGCGCTGCTAAATTCATCACGGTTAAGTGTGCAACAAATCCGTTTATGAAAAAATTGGTGGAATCATTTTGGGGGACATGAGTGAATTCACGGGAAGCACCACCGTGGCTTAATGAGGGCGCAATATAACACAGCTTTACGGTATTTCTTTACCTGGAATGTTACTGACCAGTTCTGCACTGCTTTCGCCGATCATGGACTAAGGGGTTCAGAAAGGTGACTTCGTGCTGTGGGTTGTCTTCTGATTTTCCGTTGTCCCTCCTGGACGTTATTTAAGATTCCGGTCAACAGATTTCTAGAGGGGAAACGTCGTTTTGTCAGTTTGACTTGGTGCAGATGAGGTAGGTGAGGTCAACTATGTATGCAACAGTAATGTTGCATACCAAAGTAGCACGTTTGTTTATTGTTTTTGCCAACCTGCTGCGGAAGTATGATCAAATTATCACCCCATATAAGTAGATTTAAAGAACTTTGAAATAGCACTTGAGCGGACTGTTCAGAAAATTAGTCACCTTTGATTTAATAATCCTTTCAACAGAATTATGACAATGGGCGCGACACAAATTGTTACCTTACTATGACCTTTGAGAGGTAAGCACTTAAGGTGCAGTGAGGGACATTCCTGCCGCGTCTTGGAATTCGCACGGTGCACCTCCCATTGCTTAGAGCGGGATAGAGGAGTCTTTATTCGGGAGCCGACACTATAGCGTCGCAGAAATGAACAAAAACATGAACAGATTAATATACATCGACCCAATGCGCATAGATAGATATCACTGGTTGTCAAGGTTTTCAGCGAAGTTGGTTTTTGTGGGTATTCAAAACCAGTAAACAGCATATTCATAATCATTAATATAGAATTTCACACCAGCACTAATGACACTAAGTATAAAAAATGCATAATGGTAGAAGAATGCAGCATTAATCAAATGAAAACTATTGAGGAAGTTTCTGGATGGCAGCGGGACCTGCACATTTAACAACCATAATCATTAATTGTATCTGTTTATAAAACCCAAATTTGGTGTTAGATGAGAACGAATGCGCTGTCCGAAACGGCAACTGCGTTCAAATCTGCGTCAACACCGTAGGAAGTTATCGTTGCGCTTGTTACCCTGGTTTTCAATTGGCCCCGAATAAGCAAGACTGCTCAGGTACCGCTGTTTTTTGTGTTAATTTATGCATTTACTGTTTTAGCCGTTCCTCAGAACTCAGTTCATTTTCCTCTGCTGAGTAGGTAGATCAAAGGGAAAAAATTTACAAGGATCTGATCATCTTTCAAAAATGTCCTAATACTTATATTCAACCGTACGGTCCGCGTCATTTCTTCGTAAATTAAATTCATTTAAAAACAGGAAGTAGTACTGAATATTGTTACATAGTAATTTTTATTAGCCAACCACTCTAATTATATACTGAGCCATTACGACTCCTTCATTGCCTAAACAAGCGAACATCATTACTTTCAATGGCTTGCGATTCCTTAACTTGGTCGTTGTCTGATTTCCACGCTGCTGGCATGGTCATCCGACCTATCCTACGTCAGTCCACGGTGTGCACGGCATGCATGTGCCTCATAAAGCGTTGTTGAAAACTGAATTGTGCAGCTCTTATGCAATGATTTCTGGAAGCGATGGGCGATGAGGACGTGATGAGGTGGATTATTGCCATTGCATACGCAGGTTTGTTTGGACTGATGAAATTGGAGCTTAATCTTCTACCAGCACACTGTTAGAAGGTGCTAAGCCACAGATATCTCTGTCCGCTCCCATCGTAAAGTTCATAACGATTTTAGGACATTCCTTCGCTGCTACTCTAATTACTTTTCAATAGCACGGAAAAGCCGATGGGGTTCACGCGCCCTTCAATTAATACATTTCTGATCGATATCTAGATTCTGTAAGGTCCTTATTTTTCTCTCATAGTTTCTGCGCATTTTCGCTCACTGGAACAGCAACGTCCGGCTATCCTTTCCTTGCGCTCCAAGATTGAGATCTCTTGACGATTATGTTCGACCGCAAGATTTGTAGCATAGGGTGGTCATAGTGGATTATGTACTGACAATCCTGATAGCCACTCGCTGGACGGTGTCCACAATTTGGCATCTTTTCTGAGATTAAGCCTCCTTCAAGAAAAATTATTTGTGTATAATTTTAGCGACGCCATTGTGTTGTTTGAGGTACTCGGTGTTAGCCAAAGGAACAGCCAGCGACGGTGTGTTGGAACGATCCCGTTGTACTGTCGCATTGTTCGCATTAATCTGAGATGTTTTCCTTCAGGTTGTGTTTCCTATAGGTTTTGTGAGCGTAACATAATCTTGTATCGCGATTGTAAACTATTCTGGCAATAATAAGCAATTAGTTCATAGTATTAATTTTCCCGTTCTGATGGCTATATTGTGTTCAAAGCCTAAATTTCGCATCAGCTTCAGCGTAGTAGTGACATATTTTGAAGTAGCGAGTATCAACCTCCTTTTTCATCAAGGACAGACTTCTCATCACAGTTTTGGATCTGATTTCGTCATCCTTCTTCCAAATATTTATGATTCCCATAGAATCAGGTAACTGCTTAAACCTTAAACCTTTCACAGGTTCTCGAAAGTGGATATCGCTGATTACAAGATACCTCCGTTTTACCCGCTTCCAGAAGGGGTTACTGGTGAGGTATAAGTTTTTCCTTTGTTCTCTGAACTTTGGTCATGTTCCATAATCTCGTTGCAATCGAAAAGAAATAATTTGCTTGGGCAGCTTATAGAAGGACTAATAAACCACTGAGCAAATATCTCTGTTGTTTGCATGGTTCTGTTGCTATTGTTCGAATTGCTGAAGACTGAGTTTGGCCGGTTGAAATATTGTTAGAAAATTGTCATTAATAACGATCGTCTGGAACAGCCATAGGATTTAAAATTTTTGTTTACATCCATTGGTCTGCAACTACAGCGGAGTAGCGAAAATTGAGGGTCATGCAGAAATCGACGGAGTGAATAATGTGCAAGGTCTCCCCAGTGGGATAAGGATAAGGAAGATAAAGAACTGAGTTAACAGATATGATACCTGCTTTCTACGACGCACAGAAACATGGGTCAGACACGCGATTCGTCTCAGAAACAACCAGTAAACGTTAAGAATTACAAACTGGGTTTCGCTGGACCACAAACGTGTTCCGTCGGTCATCCAACCAAAATGCTGGGACGACCCGGTGGCAAAATTTCTTCGCCGACAGTATAAACATTAAACACAGAGTAGAGAGCAGAAATGATTGGGTGAGCCTCACTTGGCTGATGGGGCTCCTGTAACTAGAACAAGTTGAATGAAGCATTTAAAACCACAGTTATATACATAGTTATATATAACTTATTGTTAACCGCAATTCTTAAAAATTAAGTTGTAACTTCACTCTCACATGGAAATCTTGATTTAATCTTCTAACCTCAATGACGTTCAGTCAATTTCTACATGATATTAGCGAAGCGATTCTTGTGCGAGATGGCACACATAAATATGTTACTGGTTTATTATAAGCTAATTATTTTCTTACGACATCGCTCCTGGGCTCGTTTAGACATGAACGAATGCGAGGAAAATAATGGCATGTGTCATCACCTGTGCATCAACACAATAGGCAGTTATTACTGTGCATGCAGAAGCGGCTACACTCTCGCCGCTGACGGTTATACTTGCCTGACAGGTAAGGTGAGGTGTTCTGTAGTGCGTCTGTAAAGTAACGTTCAATTTCTAGCGAATTCGCTACAAACGTGTGCCGGCTTGCATTGTGAACACGGCTGTGTTAAAGAGAAGGGCATGTGCTATTGCTACAGCGGTTACAAGTTGCACAACGACGGAAGAAGCTGCATACCCACCTGTGCT